TATTCATATCGATTCCCATCACAACAAAACTTGACTCCAATTAAATACAAATGTGAAGACATAGACATAAAAGTAGCTAAAGTGAATGCAATTGCCAATAATTGTGAGCCAGCACATTCGAAAAGTGCCCAGACACAATTGATTGGGTCCTCTAATTGCATCGGCTGTCCATTTGTCTGGCCTGTAATCATGAGGGTTTGGTCCAACTGTTCCCTTAATTTAATCTCTCTTATTGGGTACGAATGTATAACTTATTATTGCAAATATTTTTTGCTCTTTTATTATTTTTCTATGTTTTCTGACTATTCGTTATTGCAATCTATAAATGGATTCAATTTAAGTTTCAAATTCTGGTTTTTATCTCATATTTTAATATCTATTCATTAAATATTAAATTTTATTCATTTGAATATTATATTTCTATTAGATATTGTTTTTATGTTTTAATTATTTTTTCTATTTAATTATTTTTTCGTGAAATTATTTTTGTTTTCTATACTTATGTGGGATTTGTATTAATTTTATTGCCTTAAAATAATTGATTATTAATTAGTCTTTTATTGCTAGCTATAGCTATAACTTATAGTATTGAATGGAAAAATACGAGTGATAAGCATAAATTTGCTAAAATTAATTTTGGATTGTAACATACAGAATGTATTAAGAATTATTGTATGAATAGTAAGTACCCTATGTATTGACCTTATGTTCAAAGTAATACATGCAATAAATATTCTAGAAATTCATTTTGCCATAAATCTAATCCAATGTCTGCACGTATAAAATATTTTTCTTTCACTTTTGCAGTCGTTTTTAATTTATTAGATTTCAATTAATTTTTATATTTATTTTTATTGCAACGGCATATCTAAAAATGTATTATTGCTTTATTCCTGGAAATCAATATTTTTAAAGAATTTATTTATTTATAATTTGAATTAATGCTGTATTTGTGACTCGAAAAGTATACTTTGAATTAATGGATATGATGTTATTATAAATAATTCATATTAAATATTCATTAAAATAAGAAAAACATAAACTAATGGCGATTTGAAGTGAAGGTTTGGTCCTATTTTTGTTGAGAAATAGGAGCGCACATCACGTTTTCATTCAAAATCATATACTTATAAGTCTTATACTATATTTTAAATTCCTTATTAATTCATTTGAAATGTTTAATATTTATACACAAATATTTTGTATAAATAGCAAACAAAACACTCATTTTATCCTAATTTCTAAAATTAAAATATTGTATAACTGAAAAATAGCAATCTTGATTATAATCAGTGATTAATAAACATTTATCTCGAGTAAATCTCAGGTATAAAAATAAATATATAATAAGTTAATATACATTTGAGTGCAAACTCCGATATACTTTAATTGTTTTCCGCTATTCCCATTCAATAGACTATAATTGAATTATTAATTATATAAGTGTTTAGAGTCATGAATAAGTGTAACGACTATTAAAACAAATAATTGTTTATATAATTAGTGTGTTTGTCGTGTAATTATAGGAAAGCTCGTCGTAAGGACAAGGATGTGAGCGCCGTTACCTCATCTCAAGAAGAAGCCAAACAATACCTGCACTCAGCTCTGCTCGAGTGCACAACACCTGAAGACAAATTGCGTCAAATCGTTAATTTGCCCGAAGGTCTCGACTACAACGAATGGCTGGCCTCACACAGTATGCCTTCCCTATCATACCATTCTATCTATTCTTCTCCAGAATCTCTTTTATCTCATTTCTGAACCGATAATTCAATTCTATTATCACTATTAACCGATTGTTTGTCTGTCTCTCAAAGCGCTGGCATTTTTCGATCACATAAACCTATTGTATGGCACGATATCGGAGTTCTGCAGTATGTCTGGCTGTCCTGATATGACCGGCCCCTGCAATAGGTATGCCATACATCACTTTTATTCAAATAATATATGAAACAATTTTTTTAATAAACACTTTAATAAATCTCATATTTGTGCAGATTTATGATAAGTGTTTGTATCGTTCGCTCTGTTTTGCCACATTTTGTTGATATCATTGTTTGACTACAAATTTGATTTATGATTACAAAGAATACAAAGTTTTGCTCCGATTTTTCCAGGTATTACCTATGGATAGACGAAAAGGGAAAGAGATGTAAAGTAGCGGCGCCTCAGTATATCGATTATGTCATGACGTTTACACAGAAGATTGTCAACGACGAGTCCATATTCCCCACCAAATTCGGTGAATATTTATTTGTTTGAAATTTATTTACTTTTTAGACATTTGTAATCAAATATAGCTTTTAAGTATATAAATAATTAGTTAATTAACAAATCCTTTAACCAATGGTTTTACGCTAAAATCTCTTATTTTTTCGTTTAATACTTGGAATTCATTCCAAATTCTGTTATTTTTTATGAAAAAGTTTTTTATTATTTTCATCAAAATTTTAAAATTTATTTTTGGGCACAAAATACGAGCAGTTGTTCCAAATGAGTATTAAATGAGTGATCTGTGAAACAGATATATATTATTTATATTAAATTCTGTACAGAATTCTGTACAGAATTTTTATGTCAAATTGTTACGAATTCTGAATGAAAGGAATTTTAATAAAATTCAGACATTTTTCAGACATTTCTAATAAATTACAGTTTTTATTGAATGAAATATTTGCGAATAAAAGATATAATATTTTGTCGCCATTTATATAACTTATAATTTATTTGTTTGCATTTTACAGATAAAGAGTTTCCGACGACTTTTGAAACCATAGTCCGAAAAATATTAAAACTATTATATCACGTGTTGTCACATATATATCACTCGCACTTCAAAGAGATAGTGCTGTTGAGTCTTCACTCGCATCTGAATTGCATTTTTGCTCATTTGGTTCTCTTCAACGATCGATTCAAACTCATTGAAGACAAAGAGATCGAAGTTCTGCACGACTTAGCCATTGCTCTGCGGCTGTTCCCACCCCTCGTCACCGAACAGGACCT